GAGAATTGAATAACCATTCCGGCTCAAGGATTTTGAGTTCTCCTCTCATAATTATTGGATTACTAAACATAAGAAGGTATTTTTTACATAGACTCTTGCCACTTGAGCAAAATAGGGGGATCCACTGGTGCCACTCCATCATTTAATGGTCAAGTTGACTGGCTTAACTAACAGATTTATGAAATTGTAACTAAATTATAAGTATGTGTATGACATTACAATATTTTAAAAATGATGTATGCGATTGCAACTTCACCCAAATTTGAGCATGTAAAAACAGTAAAATATAACTTTACACCCAAAATTAAAGAAATGAGTATAAGATGAAATCGATAGAAGAGTGACAGAGAATGCCACAGTCAGTTGCAAAAACAAATTAGGGTTCGTTCAAAGGATAGTGAAAGAACAAGTAATAAAGAAACAAAACAACTCGCAATTTGATTGTATAAAAACCTTAATCTTGGAGCTGTGATTTTCCCCACCTCTGTCTCTGTCTCTCCCTGTCTCTCTGTCTCTCTCTCTCTGCATGTAAGCAATACAACATCATATTAACGGTCAAAGCTAGTTGCTGACCATCTTGGGCTTCGCAGCCATTGCCCGCACAGTCAAGGGAATTCCTTCCCTACTTTTGTCTTAGCACCAGGACCCAAGTTTTGCTCCCACACATCTTCCAAACTTTCAATATTATTATCGTAAATAATAATATTGATTATATATTAATATCAACTAATTAAACAACATATTATATATTTAACTAATTAATTAATAATATTCAATAATATCATTGATATGAGTAGGAAGCAATTGGATCCTCCTGAGAGGAGCGTCTTCTTCTTCCTTCACCGCTGGTCCAACCTTTTTTACACGTGAAGACGCTCCTCCCCCCTCCCCCCCCATCTGCAATTATAATTTTTATTCACGCGTGTTATGATCATATCTTCATCAGTTTTTTTATTGTCTTGTTTTCTTCATAATTCCCTAGCTAGCTCCTATTTTAATTGTGGCCCGAAAAATTCCAAAGCTTTGGTTTTTTGGGTCCCTTCCAATACAACTTACTGCTTTACAAGGGTGGTGGGACTATACGACTGTGTCTTGAACTTTCAAAGTCACAAGAGTTTTGTATATCATTAGAGGGTGAAAACTTGGTCTTAATACGTAGTATTTATATTTTAGTTATTTTTTTTCTGGAAACTTAAGGAGAAGTTTTTAAGGATACCTTTACAAAGAGCCAACACACTTGCAGCACTATTATGCAACACTACAAAGATACTTTGTTCCCAAATCTATATATGTGGTGATATTGAGACCTTCATCAATAAAGTGAAGACAGTGGTAGCAAATATCTACCGCTTTTTGTCTTAACAAATTTATACCTATAATTAAACATTTGGTTAAGGCCAAGAACTATGCGCTTGAGAAAAAGGTAGTGGGAGATGAAAACAACACGATAAATCAGTTCCAAAAAATATGTTATATTATGGTTTTGTCTATTTTTTTTTTCTCATTTGGTGGTGATACAATTGGAAGCCAAATAATGGATATATAAAAAGTGCCTTTATTGTTAGACGTACGTATGCTACGATAACAAAATTGGTTTAAGTAGTAAGAGGTTTGCAAAAAAAAGGATGCAATCAATCCTCAAATCCTAGACGTCCATAGAGAATCAAGAGGGATTTAAACGTATCCTTAACCGAAAAGAGCAAAAGGTAGGGAAAAGATGACAAAGTTAATAAAAATTATGTTTGGACCATCATTCTTTCAAAACTCGTCTGCTTATTCGAATACAATTATATACGTATACCAAATTGGGTATGCAAATTTTCCTTGTCTCAAGGTTAAAAAAGTTTGTGGAAGCTTATTGCTTCGAGTTTTGAGAAGAAGTTTTTGGTAGCAGAACCAGATGTTTGACCTAATTTGATTTAAACACATACATTTATGCATTTACTATCACTCTAAATGATGGAGTTGAGAATACATGACTAAGAGAATTGAGGAGTCTAGAAACATTAAACTTCAAACTTTCAGATTTGACAATATATCGTTTTGAGAGAACAATTAGACAATCTATCCTTTGAGAATTAGGTGAAACAGCATTTTTAAGGTTTGATGATTTATTTATTTTTTTTTAATTTTCATATCGTTTGTTAGTTCATGAATAGGAAATATGTTTTGTACCATGACAATAATTTTGCACGACAATATGACATTACAAAAAAAAAAAAGGCAGACAATAATTCCAGCTTGTACAAAACAAGCAAGGTACAAGTTGTTTTTCCCTCTTTTTTTTTTAATTTTAAATAAAATTAAAAAAAAAACTTAACAAGTTAAATTAAAAGAAGCAATACTGCATTTGGAATCTTATTCTTAACTTGATTTTTATATATTTTGGGTTCTACATGCTCAATTTCTTACGCAAACACCAACGACACACACTCTGTCATCCTCCACACTCCCTCAGACCCTCTCCCTCGTCCCTTAAAGAAATATAGAAAAAGAAGGTACATAGAGAGAACTGTCGAGGACGATGAACATCATGAACCCTAGGACCGAAGTGCCAAATGTGACTCTTTTAATCATGTAGGACAAAACTTCCCATCCTACAGCTCTCCAGAATTTAAGGGTACCCAAGAAGAAGTATACGATGTAAGAATAGCATAAATGTTCAAAGGTGACCAAACAAATCATGATCACTCACTCTTAGGTTTAATGTCGGTGTATGCATAGTTATTCACCCTTCAATTTAATATCAAAACAAAGAATAAGCGGATGTGAGTGACCATGAATTCTAGTGATCAATAAAACAAGACTCGTAAGAAGAGTACCTCTTTTTATATTTTGAGTTTCTTTATAAAATAACTAGTTTAGTGTTATTTATATTCACTTATACCTACTCCAACTATTGGAGTAAAAATCAAAATTTAAGTTCTAAACTTATCCCAACGCTCCAACCCTTGACACAAAATTGATTTCTGGGGCAAATTTAGGCCATGATTTTCCCTTAAGTTAGTGAGGGCGGCCCAATATGTATTTTTTTTTAGTTTTATATTTATAAATTTATTGAATCCAACGGCTAAGATATAATATGATCAAATCCAACGGTAAAAAAAAAAGATCCAACGGTACAAATTTAAATCCAACGGCTAAAGTAATTAAAAAAAAATTCTTTTACGTGTTTCATTTTTTTTCATAGTGTTACACAAATTTCATGGTGTCGGTTTAATAATTTTTCAATATTTATCAGAATCTAAATATTTTTAGGTTAAAATATTCATAAAATTAAATTAGGATAGTCTACATAATTAATTTAGGGCTAAAAATTTAACCTAAAAGGGTTGGAGATGGTCTTATAAGTGCAAGATTTTGGGTTTCATTTTCGTAAATATCGAGTTTGATATCAAATTTTTATGATCGACCCATTGTGTGACTTAGTTGAAATCCTCCACTTCTTAGTGTAAATATAGTGAAAGAAATTAGGGAGTGAGAGCATGAGTGTGAAGTTTGAAATTGAATTACTATAATACTTTTAAAATAAAATAAAAAAGTCGTCTGACGATAAGCACTATGGGCATTGAACTCTCTTTGATGACAGAGATGATTCTCTTAATATAGGGTGCATAATCCATTTGGAAACTACTTCTACTTTTTTTTTTTTTTTTAATATCAATTGAGAATTCAAAATCAGGGTTTCAAACTTGATGAATGTAGATCCTTTCCCTAATAGATTCGGGCTATTCGTAATTAGGGTTTCAAAATTGCAGGTAGATTATCCTCAGTGGTGACTAGGCATCGCTAGAGCAGATGATCACGTACAACTTAAAATTTTTTCAAACATTAGAAAGAAAAAGTTATTAAAAATTTACTTGAATGTTGGTAAAGATGTTGAAAAAGGTTTCGCAGAGTTTCCTTCGGGATCCTTTCATTCTCGCATGTCGTGCGTGTTGCAAAACTAACGATAAAAGTGAGGGAGAGAGATGGGACGATATAGAGAGAAGGGTTTGGCCTTATACATTTAAATGTTAAAATGGTTTCTGTGTTTTAGTCATTTGGTTAATCTAGTCCTTGTGTTTTCAATTTGGCCAAGTTGGTCTTTGTGTTTATCTTTGTTAGCCAATTAAGGACATTTCCATATAATTTCGGTAAATTTTTTTATAAATTATGATAAACTTATTTATAACATTATTTATTTGATTTAAAATATTTAAAAATGAAATAAAACTAAAACTTAAAAGAAAATTTATTCTTCTTCCAATTTTCCGACCTCCTCCCTAACATTACCCTCTCTCTTTTCTATGTCAAAACCTTAATCATTTTTCAGATTGGAAGTTTGATCTCTTATATGTGTTATTTCTAATTGATTTGCATTTTTCTGTAAAGAGAAAATGTAATAATATATAATATAATTGTTCTTATGAATTTTTTAAAAGAGATTGAATAAAATCCTTAATTGGCTAACAGAGACAACCACAATGACTAAATTAGCCAAATCAAAAACAAGGGGACTAAATTTGCCATGTGACTATATCACAGGGACCATTTTGACATTTAAGCCTTTATACTAATCACGATGAGTTTTCTTACCTTGCAAGTGATAACAACCTAAGAAGATTTGATCTCCAAATACGATTCTATTTAAGTTTGCATAATCACATTCCTAATTAAAAATTATATTAACAACTGATTTTGACTTTTTACCAGAATCTCCAAACATTTGGAGAGGATGAGCGAAATCTTAGGATTAGTATCGGTATATAAAACAGTATAGTCTAGTAGTACTCTACGCACACTATACTCTCTTACCACTAATTTAACTTCCCCTCCCTCTCCCTATATCTCATCCGGTTATTTTGGCGGCACCATACCCGCCACATTTCCTTCACTCCTCGCATTCCTCTCTCTCTCTCTCAAATTTTTTTGCACAATATAAACACTCTGGATTTAGCATTTCTTTTAAATAAATCCGTTGATTGTTCATCGTAGATGTTCGAAGAGACTGAGGAGGTATGAGGGACTCTGCAGAAACTTCATTCTCTCTCTCCACCGTCCTCTGCCAAGAAGATGAAACTTGTCTTAACCAATTGGAAGACGAATCTAAAACTTCTGTAGAATCAAACCCATGTTTTCTTTTTGATAACGACGATGAATATGTCGAAAACTTGATTCAGAAAGAAGCTCATTGCTTTGAATCCAAAGGGTTCAAGGATTGCCCGGTCTCTGGCATGAGCTGGTTGAAAACAACTCGATTGGATGCCATTGATTGGATTTTCAATGCATGTCACTCTCCCTAAAGCTCTAAAATTTCCCAGATTGTTGTTTCTATATTTCTTGTTCAGTCCCTGAAAGTTTGTGGATTTTGCAGACAGGGGCAGTTTTTGGGTTCCAGTTGCAAACAGCTTACTTATCAGTGACTTACTTTGATGGGTTTCTTTCAAAACGATCCATTGATGTAAGTAAACCAATACTTTCAATGTTTTGCAAATTGGGTTTCTGTATTTTTGTTGTTTTGCCAAAATATTTGGATTTTTTATTGGTTTTTTTTTAATATATAGGATGAGAAATTGTGGGCTATTAGATTGTTATCAGTGGCATGTTTATCCTTGGCTGCTAAGATGGAAGAATGCAAAATACCAGCTTTATCAGATTATCGGTTTCGGATTACGATTACGATTTTGAAAGCAAAGTGATTCAAAGAATGGAGCTTTTGGTGCTGAATACATTGGAATGGAAGTTGGGTACAATCACTCCTTTTGATTATCTGCACTACTTCATCAATAAGTTTTGTGCTGATCAATTAAGACCAAAAGAACTAGCTTCTAATGCTATCAGACTAGTTGTGGCAATGGCAAAAGGTAATGTGATCCCGTACTCCCAATCTAATTAAATTTGCATAATTTGTTACATTTCCTAATCAATCTGATTTCTATAACGCAGAAATTGATTTGATGGATACTCGGCCGTCGATTATTGCAGCTGCTGCAGTTTTAGCAGCATCAGATGGTCAATTAAGCAGAAAGATTCTAGAGCTTAAGATGAATGTGATCTCATTCTTGCAGTCCCAAGATTATGTGAGCCAACTAATGCACTACTAATTACACTTTGTTCTTTTATTTACTTAAGTTAATCTTAATCAAATTTCCATTGGAACAGGAATACATATATTCCTGCTATGATTTTATGCAGGAAATAGTGGAAAGAAAAGATAAGACACCAGCTCCCAAGTTTTCAAATTCCCCTCTATCAATTCATTCATACTCAATGGAAGTGCTTGAAACTTCACCAATTGGCACTAAGAGACGGCTTACATTCGGTGACTCTTCTGATCAAAGTTACCCAACCAAGAAAATTCACCAGCCATAGTTACTGTTGAGGTTTTTTTTTTGAATATTTGTTGGTTTTTTGATTGAATTATAGAGAGAAAAAGAATTTCATGATACTTTAGGAGATTTGGGGGGGGGGGGGTATCCGTGGTCCGTGGCTACGACATCTTGGGGGTAAATTGTTGTATTTTCGTTCGTTAATATGTTATATATTTATTTGTGTTTCATGATCGAGAACATTAAGAAGGGAAAGGGGGGACTTGGGGTGCTTGGGATGCTTCCCACCTGTCTTTCAAAAGGCTGGAAGCCATGAGGAATGAAGAATCGTTTTTGTTTGATTCGATATCTGTGTTGTATTTGGGCCATTGCCAAAAAGTATATGTGTGTGTGTGTATAAAGGTTATGTGAGTGGGAACAGTAAAAAAAACACTCCCCTTTCACTATTAGGGTTGCACTCTCGCCTGTAAAAGATCGATAGTCAAACTCTTGCTGTTAATTTGAGAATAAGTGCGTGCTTTACCATCGTTAGGTAGAGCGCATGATCTATTGTGGCAGATTTGCACCGTGTAGTCTTCTGTGTTTGATTATTGAGCTTTCTATATAGGGGATTTATTATGTTTGCTTCTAGTACTTAGTTGGCACACTCCTTGTAATCGTGATGCATTCATGTTTATATTATTAATGAATTATCGCTATCGCTTTGGTTAAAAAAAGGTACCGCGCCCTATACAGCAAAAGAAAATGGATAAGGGGTAAGGGTAGGGGTCTGATTTACTTGCAAGCAATGGGGCATTTGCAAGCACTTGAGAAAAGTTGTAGGACCCAAATGAACCATCTTCGTGAACATCGAGACCCAAAATTTTGGGGATGGGCGGTGGAATTTGGGGGGCATGACATTCATAGCAAAGGTGGTGTCGGAAGGCTCCCACCCATCCACATGCCTTCTTGGGGTTCATAGGCCAGTCTGGCATAGTACACCATTGTATTTTAGCCTCAAACAGAAGATTACACTTCCTGCTTCAGAAATCTGTTTTCATGTTATATTTGTGTAAAATTAAATTCAAAAGATAAATCTTAAAAATGAAAACGATTTTCGCACTCATTTTTTTCCCTTGCTCTGTCCTGACTATCTCTGGCCACTGAATTGAGAGAATCAAAAGAGGATAAGTGGACGGAAATAAACGAGAGTATGCAGAAGGAGAAAAGATGTGTATGATTTAGGGGTGAGAGTTTGTGATGCAAAATTTGGGGCAAACTGATCTTCTTGTCAAGAGGTCTGAGTGGGGAGAAAATCAACCTCATCAATGGAAGTACATATAAATTTTGGTAGCTTTTAAAATGCATGCTGCAGAAATAGCTGCTGTGGTTTTGGGTTGTAAGTTTTTATTTTCAATTTTAGCAATTTTTTTAATCCTCTAGGTTGAAGACAGTTCAGCAGATTCACTCTAAAAAAGCCTTGTATTTAATCTTGTGCAGAATTGGGGGTCAAATGCATTTGGTCACAAAGTCCACCTAAAATCTAAACACTTTTTTTCTTGGATTTTTATTAGCCCAAAAAAGGAGAAACGCCATGTGATCAGAAAAATATTAATACTAGAATATATAACCGGTAAACGAGAGTAATATTTTGTGATTTTTAATAATTTAATTAGAAAAGTAGAACTCTACACGAACTTTCTGCTACCTTATGTTTTTTGGCAATATTTTATAATGTTGGCACGAAAATTGACGTTAAGCTATTTGGTAATATGGAGCCTACAAAGAGTCTTCCTTTGAAAAAGTATGTAATTTGCAACCCATGTTTGCCCAGAATGGCAATCTAGGATGCTCAGAGGTGAATATGGACCACGATTTTCATCTACATCATACAGATAGATGTTGTTGGTTTTTGGTATGAAATAACATTTCACTTCTTTTAAGAAGAAGACAACCTAAAGGGGAATGAAAGAAAATTGAAAAACAGAAAAATGTTGGACGTTACCATCTTGGGAGCATGGTAGTTAGAGAGAAACTAAATCAACTTTCACCTGCAAGTGATCATTTATTACAGTAGTAGAAAGATGTTGAATTCTTATATGACAGAATGGGTTTAAATCTTGTTGGTAACTAATCTAACATCTAATTTAACGAAATCTATCGTTTGACAAAAAAAAAAAAAAAATCTACTTTCACCTAGCTAGGAGCCTTAGGACTAGCATGGCATTCCATTATCACAAAATTATGGTGATTCCATAACACGCATAAATGATTTACAATCACTTATATTATGCACGCGTGAACTAGTGTTATTAACAAAATTCCGAACTATCTTAAGTTTTGGCACTTTTAAAAACCAACTGAACCTAGTTGATAGTGACAACAAACAAGAACCACATTTTTTGTGTGTGGGTAAATTACACAAAACTACTTCAACCATTCGTCGAACCACAATCTCATACCTCATGTTTTAAAAATTACAATGTCATACCTCATCTTACGAATTTGTTGCAATGTCAGACATTCGTTAATTTTTCTGTTAAATTCTCTGTTAAATGCTGACATGGTTCAAGGCGGAACCCACTCCCTAGCTTAACTGGATTAAATTCTTTATTAAATATTAAAAAAAATAAAATCATTTAAATATTTTTTAAGTGTGGGACCCACCCCATACAACCCCATCACCCTTACCATTCTTCCCCAGTTCGCCTAACGACATCGACCTCACCATCTGCCTCTACCACACCCACCTCGACCTCGTCCTCTTCTCCCTCACCTGGTCCCGCTCCTTCCTCGAAGAAAACTCACCTTAGGATTCCAATTGAATTTTCAAAAGGAAGCAGGTTTTGGTACCTAAAGTAGAATTAAACGAAGAAAGGAAGCAAAGTTACTTGAAAGCCAAAAGCCGCTGTTGAAAAAAGTTATGGCTCAATGAAGCATTCAAACAATTTTTGACAGACCCCGACCTAGATCGAGGCATGCTGGCAGTCACGTGAGGGTGACGTAGCCATGTGCACAGTGCGGAAGAATAACAATATAAAGAAATGCGAATAAATAAAAACCAAACTGACTAAAACACTAGATAGGATAAGGTGAAAGACGAGAATAAGTGTGACTACATATAACCATAGCGTATGTATCCTAAGTGCAGTCCAACATGACAAATACTAATTATACAATACCAAAGGTGGTGCTACATTAGTGATAATCTGTTAGAACAGCCATGAAATTCTCGCAAGCCACCAACAAACACTCATAACTAGAACTTGGAGGGGCGCAAAACATAAAGTGTGAATGGGCAAAAACAAAGCTTTTCAAAACCGTTCATTATCAAAAGTAAATAACCCATCGTCGTAAAACCTGTATAATTCCCAGAAAATAGCATGTACGATTATATCTTTAAATCATATTCAAAATAGCAAATCCACCGAATATACCATGTCAAATCTCAGAAAGAAATAAGTAAGCCAGGTGAAATAAATCAATATGAAATAGTATGCAAGCCGAAGTTACATAACGTGACATGTACGGCTGAGTCTATAGCTCCTCAACTAGTTCTCTGCACACGAGTCGGAACCACCTAATGTGGTCTGTACGATAGGCTGGGTGTAAATAAATACGCTTAAGTGCTACGATCACATGAAGGCTGTGCGAAGTATTGCAAGTCACCTACGAGTCGGAACCACCTAATGTGGTCTGTACGACATGATGACACCTGCCTTGGATCCAAGGTGAGCGTGTGGTGCGGGAGGTGAACGATCACGTGAAAGCTAGGCCCTGCCTTGGGCGGAGCACTAACACCAGGGTGCAAGACAATGAGCTATAAATACATCTCAACACAATCATACTCACTACCATCAATATACTCACCTGAAGCTTACCTGAGCGTCCGCAGCGTCAAGCAACAATATATATATATATATATATATATATATATATATATATAACCATACTAATGCATAATCAAACATAGAGCATTTGACATGGCATTTCAAAATATCAAATCATTTAATTAAGTTTTCTGGGAAAAATACCAAGTGTGTGTATATATATATATATATATATATATATATATATATACAGGGAGCTTAAGGGGAGGGATCCCCATTTTTTAAAAAAAAATGGGGACACGCTCCCCACCGTTAGATTGACTTTAATGAAATTGTGTGGTTGAGATTAAAACACAGGCCATAGAATCTCAACCACATGATTTCATTTAATTCAAATCCAACGGTGGGGAGCGTGTCCCCATTTTTTTGAAAAAATGGGGATCCCTCCCCTTAAGCAATTCCTATATATATATATATATATATATACTGAAAACCAAAAGCCCACTCACCGATATGTGGAAAGGTCGTAGCCCCCAAGTCTTGCTTGACTGCGCTCTTCCTCTGGATAGGTCTCATCTATGTGCGAAACAACTATTTAAATGTTATTTTAAGCACATAACCAAAACTCGGTAATAACTTCTCATACATTGCTCAAATGGCGTATTTGAATATACCAACGTGGCCTACTCAATCCACGAACATCCCCATATTTTTATAAAAAATTTTGGGTTTGCAGGCGCCCTTATGCGCCGGCAATGGCACGGCCAGATGCGCCCCCACGTGCAGGCCAATGCCGTCAGCTAGCCTGACACCATCAGGAATATTCCGTTAAATACTAACAGAAGCTTACAGCGTTACCTTACGCCGTCAAGAACATTCCATTAACTTTGACAGAATATTCCGTCACCTTCTCCGGCGAGCCTCGCCGTCTGCAATTCGATTTCTGCCGGATTTTTGGATAATTTTCAAACTTCAATATCTCACGCATTTCTACACCAAATTTCACAAATTTTATACCAAAATGAAGCTTAGGACGAAAGGAACAAATCCTTACCACTTTTAGGTCTTAAATCCATAGGAAATTCACCGAAAAAACTTGAGGAAATCGGCAAAACCCTACAACTATATAAACCAAAGTGTTCTTATGTCAAAACCACTCCAAAATTGATCCAACGTGCTAGAAAAGTAAGAATAATACCTTTTGAGGTCTCAAAACAACCTAAAACCTTGGCGATCACGTCGAAGAAAATTCACCCCTCACCGGAGCTCAGGTAACTTGAGTTCTATAAGTCCTCACGTCCAACCAAGGGTATAAATCAACTCTTGAGCTTGCAAGGAACACGAAAACCACCTTCACAGTCTCGATCCGTGCATGAAAGGGTTGGTTAAGGAATTGTTCGTACAATTGTATGAAAAATGGAAGAAATCCAAGAGGGAAAAGAGATAAAGAGAGTCAACAGGAGGGTAAGAGTGTGTGTGTGGTCCAAATTTGGGCTACCAAACAAAACAAATAATTTTTTTTTTATAATTCTAATTGGATCCAAACACTTAGGAAAGAAATCAAGTGGTCCACATCCTTAGCCCATTTACACACCACCACCAAACGCTCAAGGGTAAAATAGTAATTTCCACGCCCTCGTGGACAAAATAATATAAACATTCGGGACAAGTTGTCACAATTTTCCAGGTTAAAATCTCAAAAAAAAAAAAAGAAGAAAAGAAACCCAATTTTCACAAAACGTCAACAAAGAGAATTATTCTCGGAAAAATGAAAAAGGGTCAAACCCTAAAAACCCAGATCTCCAAAATTCCAAAGGAACCAACTTTTTGCAAAATAAAAGAAATTTCCAAATGCACAAATGTTGGAAATTTCTATCAAGAATCAAAGCCTTTCACCGCACCACAATTAATTGGCATACCAAATGCATGAGCTCTCTATCTCTTCACTCTCTCTTCTCTCTTTCTAACTTTACTCAATCTACAAATTTCCACACCAATAATCAGGTAGGCTGGATTTTTAGCTTTGTTGAATTCAAATTGAATGTTGGGGTAGAGCTTCTTGGAGCTGTGCTTATTCCAGAAGAGAAATGGCTTGACATGGAGGTGGAAGGAAGGGGAGGAGAATAGGTAAGGGAGGGGGGTCGAAGGAGTGGCGGAGGAGGTTGGAGTCGAGGGAGCGGTCGAGTAAGAAGCGGGACCAGGTGAAAGAGTAAAGGGCGAGGTCAGTGTGGTAGAGGCAGGTGGTGAGGTTAGGGTGCCCGGAGATGGGTGAGGTTGTTGGGTGGACTGGGGAAGAAGGGTTGGGGTGATGGGTTTGTATGGGTGGGTCCAACATTTTTTTATAAAACTATTTACATGATTTTAGTTTTAATTTTTTTTAATATTTAATTACTTTTTTAATCCAGTTAGACTAAGAAATGGGCCCACTTCAAGCCACATCAGCATTTAACGGTGAAATTAACAGAAAAACTAACGGAGGTTTGACATTGTAACAAATTCGTAAGATAATGTATGTCATTGTAATTTTAAAAACATAAGATATGAGATTATGGTTCAACACATAATTGAGGTAGTTTTATATAATTTATCCATAATAATGATGTGCACGAAAAGAAATGGTGTGTTTATCATTTTTTAATTAAAAAAGTATACACAGTCCAACACACTGAACCAAATACGAAGATTCAAGTCTGAATTGGGATCAAGAAAAGAAATGACTTCTTCAAAAGCTTCAAAAGGTCATCAATCTCATGTATTTTTCATGCCACGAGAGCATCTCTAATGGGAGTCCCTATTTAGGAACTCCCACCACCACTTTTGAGTACTTATTTAAGGACTTAAAGGGAATCTATGTGTCTCTAAAGGAATGTTGTCTCCAATGGAAGAATCCTTATAGTAGAATATAAATTTGAGATTTATATAATTTTATGTGATAATTTGATTAGGTGTAATATATTTTTTGTGTTAACTTTTTTTTTTAATAATTAATTTGGACCCTCCATCTCTCAAACGGTTGAAAAAAAAAACAAAAGACAAAGCCCATGTGATTGGGACCCACGCTTGCAGCTGGCGTCAGCTCTGTCAACGAGTACAACTCCACTTGCGCGTCAGCAGCAAGTGGGAATCGTGCTGCATAGCAACACTCATTTTGGTGGGCTACCTTTTCAGTCCCTATATGTGGGTACATACACTAAGTATTCAGTGAGTCCATATACTTTAAAGACTTACTTTCCGATTTATTGGATATTCATTTTATCCTTATATTTATTTTATACAATGATTGTCCCTATTGAGGGACTTCACTAAAGATACTCTAAATAAGATCTATATCAAACAAGGAGCTTGCTCCTGCACATCAAGGAACAAAAGTAACGGTTGATATTTAAATAGTTCTCATTTAATTAAATCTCAACCATTCACTTAGAAAATAAATCTCAATAGTTAGGAAAACAAATGTGTGGGAAAGAATTTCCGATCAAACAAAGACATTTTCTTTAAATGGTGAACCCGGCTATTTGCATTCGAAAGTGTTGAGCCCGGTTCGTCTTCTTCCCAATCAGCGCCAAAAACTTATTTGAAAATTGAAAACATTTAAAGTGGCACACACCGTTGCTTCGCATAAAATAACAGACTAATCATTGCTTTTTGATCATACTATACATTCTGTCTTATTTGTCCGTCAAATTGTTTACTATCACAGACGGCAACCGCTCTCCCTCAGTTCCTCCAGAAATCGAAACGCATAGGCAATTATAACTTCTGCAACAACAAGAATCCACTTCGAAGTTCATCACCCGGAAAACTAATCGCCATGGATAAGCGGCTCCGCTCATCCCTTCAGACCTCCGCCGACGAATTCCTGAGCTCCGCCGCAAAGCAAACCCTAAAATCCTCAAAGCCCTCTCTCAAAACCCTAATCCACGGCGTCAAGCCTTCCTCCGACCTCTCCTCCTCTCTCCCTCTCTCTCTGTCCCACTCCATTTCCCAAGCTATACAATCCTTCAAGAACCTTCTGGAGCCCAACCAAAACCCTAAACCTAAACCTAACTCCCCGCGCTCTCCTCCCACCAAACGGCCCCGGAGGTCTTCTAGGCGGTCCAAGACCCGACCAGAACCTGATTCAGACGACCCAGACCCTAACCCGGAGCGAGAGAGGAAATGCCTTCTTTCGGAACTTCAAGTTTTAGCATTTATCGCGCAATTGTGCATTTCGCATCCCCAGAACGCATTCTCGCCGTTGGATTTGTTGACCGGAGTTCAGGCGCTGCACGACAATCTGATTATTTTGGAGTCGGACTCGGTGCTGGTTTCGGAGATCGCGGGTTTGTGCGAGCAATGGTGGAAGGAGGAGTTGCCGAGTCGAGAATCACTGATTTCTCAGTCGCTCCCTTTCTTGCTCTCGAGATCTTTGACTCTGCAAAAGAAGGCAGATGTTCACAGAGTCTATGCGCTCCGGGAGGCCTTTACTTGCTTTGATTTCGAAGACGAGAGCATTGAGGACTTGAAGCTCTTGTTAATTCGGTGTGTGATTTCGCCGCTGTATCTGAAAGCAGAGGAGGGGAAGAAGTTCCTTGCATTTATGTTCGGGTTGAGTTTGCAGCTGTTGAAGGAAGTTTTGGCAATGATTCGATCTCAGGTTCCGTTTGGTCGAAAGTCAATGCTGGAGGCCTACGGGGACGTCCTGTTTCGGGCTTGGAAAGTGGCGGATGGCGAATCGAGAAGTGAGATCGAGAATGGGTTTTTGCAGGGTTTGATTGAGGGTGCAATACATGCCAGTTCTGGAGCTTTTGCTGCTTCGATTAGAAGGGTTTTGGGAGGGTTTATAAACCAGAGGACCACTGCTGGTGTTGAGAAGCTTCTTTTCCAGCTGTCTGAACCTGTGATATTTCGCTCGCTGCAGGTAAATTTTTGTTAATAAGTTTGTGAATACAGTTGTCAAATGCTGTGTTTATGTTGTATCTGAATGACTGGTATGTGATCACAGGTTGCGAATTCTAATGTTCGTCAAAATGCGCTGCATTTGCTGCTGGACTTGTTTCCTCTTGAAGATCCCGATTCCACAAAAGAAGTGAAAGATTCCTTGCTTGATAAGCAGTTCTTTTTATTGGAGAGATTACTCACCGATGATTGTCCAGACGTGAGAGTGGTTGCGGTGGAAGGGTCTTGTCGAGTGCTTCATCTATTTTGGGAAATCATCCCTTTGAGTACAATCACAAAGCTAATTACCAAAATTGTTGATGATATGTCGCACGATGTATGTCATGAGGTTAGACTTTCCACACTGAATGGAATTATCTACTTGTTTGGAAATCCACAATGCCATCAAATTCTCAACGTTCTTCTGCCCAGACTGGGTCATTTGATGCTGGACAATGTCCTATCAGTAAGAGCTGCAATGGCAGATCTCCTCCTTGTTATAAGGGATATTCCAAATTTCCAGTTCCATAAGGTAAAGATTGCTTTTATAATTATGATAAGCTCTTGTTATTTCTGATGCCTTTTTTGATGTTAGTTGGTTTGTATGCTTCATTTCATCTTTCACTAGGTGGTGAAATTAGATGTATTATTGTCGGACCTTGCAAATGATCAACCTCAAGTTGCTCAGAAAATTACACAACTGCTTATGCCATCATACTTTCCTTCAAAAGTGTCCGTTGAAGCAGCATGTAATCGTTGTGCTACGCTCGTTAAAAGGTCTCCAATGGCTGGAGCCAGGTTTTGTGAATTTGCTGTGTCCCAAGGGTCATCTCTCAAGTCTCTGATGGAACTTGTTCGAGTATTGATTACTTTGGTCTTGCTGCCTAGTAATCTAGATGAAGATCAAATTGAAGGTTTACTTCTTGCTGCTGCCAACCTTTGCAATACCCTAGCAAGCGAGTCAGTTTTCAAGAATGCTCTTAAGGAGTTCTTCGATGGTGAAAAGTTGAAGTGCTTGTTTGCTGCTGCATCTACTCGGTCTGCTCAGTCTTCTGTATTCAACATTGTCTCAACTGTCTCTCCAGATGATCTAGCTGGACTTCTTGACGAATGCATGAACCTGGTCACTAATTGTAGTGGTTTATCCAAAGATGCCAAGAGGCAAGCTGAAGTGAGGTCTGCTCACAAATTGTTGCTGTCATGTGATGGGGTTGATGGTATGCTTGAAGCTCTAACAGCATTCCTGCAGAAAGCTGCCTATCGTTGCCATGTCAAATTTGGCAATGAAATACCAAATCTGAGTGTTTTCTCTGCAAAAAGAAAGAAATCAAAGTCCTCTAGCAAAATTTCAGCTCGATGGAGAAATGTTGGCGGGAAAAAACCAACCAATTTTGAGAACGATTATTCAGTGGCAGTAGGAATGGCCTGGCAAATTAGAGATTTACTTGCATCTGACAACACTCGGAATTCTATATTGGGGTCTCAAGTTCTAGAGTCGTTATTTCAATCCTTAAATGTCATTTCGGAGGTCAGCATTGTGCAGTGCATGCATTGTGAATATATGGACACATCTCCTGTCTTGGCATATACAGCTCTTGCTCTGCATATGTCTCTTCAAAATGCCAGTTCGACTACAACAGATTGCGGTACAAAAAGTAAAGATAGGACTGATTCCACAAGATCTAGTTCTGAGGCAAGTCATATTACTATTTTTCGCATTCATTCTTATTTGAAGTTTTTAAGCTGCTTTATTGTCTTAATAGGTTTTTATCTTACATATTCTTTAGCTCCATAACCACGCTTTAACTTTTTTAGTAGATATTGTTTAGCTCCATAACCATGATTTAACTTTTTAGTAGATCAATTTCTAAATCACGAAATGAAATTAAGTAATGGAAAATAATTATTTTTATGTCCCTTTGTTTTCTGTGTAATTCAAGTTGTTTTCACCTTCAAAAACTCTCAAAACATGGTAAGCTTTGGAACAAAAAGAAATTGGCAGAATGCACATGTTGACATGACTCGTAAAATCTGGTTCAACATTCAGGAAATTACGTGGAGTTCACATTGGTTCTGTACCAGTTACATTGCATGCAAGATACTATTTGACGCATGGAATTCTGATATTCCTTTCCTTTTAGTTATGTTTCATGAAAAGAGTTCATTTATTAATCAGTAATTATTTGTGTTTTCATTGACCGTTAACCAACTCTGTGATATAATATGTTCATTGTTAATCAGATGCCTTGTTTTGATTTGGACAGATTCTTCTGTACTGTACTCTTCACACAACATGTGTCCTCAAAATTGTTAAACTTTGCAAGGACTTGATGCTGATGTAATTCATCTGCCACAATATCACTGTTTAAAGTCTTGCTTTTCTTTTCTTTTTCAGCAGACTAAGTTGGAACATGCATTGGATCACCTAGTTAACTGTGCAGAGAAGCTATTTCGGGCAGATGATGCTGGAGGGTCCGGAAAAATTTCTCCACAACCTAAGCATTCTAGCAAGAAGTCTTCCAACCGTCGTGAGAAAAGACAGAGAGAATCGCATACTGATGCCTCAAGTCCAAGTGATAGTGGTAAGTACTTATGGTTTATGGACCGCACACAAAGGCACATATCACATAAATTGAAGAGATAACTAACAGTAAAGATTGAGTAGGAAACATAACTAGTTCATTAAAAAAGATTTTGTTTCCTTTTACCCTTTGGGATTGCAGTGACAATATGAAAACAATAATAATGGGGATGAAAAAGATGTAAATTATAATCTTCAGCCGTACCCATTATAACTATAATTCACTGCATCACATATGTACTGTTAATTGGATGTACTTCTGCCCCTTTCATCGGGGTCAAACCGGGTAACAGGGCCTACATTATGACAGAATATTAACATTTATGATATATGCATGCAGGATGCGACTATACAGAACCAAAGAAGTTATCAAACAAGGTGAAGATGCTAACTGCAGTCTTAAGGTTCGTGGTTGATGCCGCTACAATAGGTTCTGTTCATCAAATTCAGGAAAGGTGCTTAAAGTTCACATCAGGTTACATAAGATATGTCGTATCTAAGTTGGAGCAACAATCTCGTGAGCCTTTTCAATTTGAGGAGGAGGATTTGAAGGATATGGTTCTCTGTTTGAAGAGCTCCTTCACATATGCAGCCAAGTTACTGAATCTAGCTCTTAAAGATGTTACTGAAGCTTCACCAGCACTCACTGAAGCGTCTGATCTTGCCAACGATCTGCTTGATTTAATCATCTCGATTGAGTTGTACTTGGGTTCTAACTATGTTGCTCATTTGGTGACTGGAGTAAAGTCTTGGCTTCCTGACTTGATTCTAGCTTTAGGATCTGGGCACATTGTAGAACAGATTAAGGGAGAAGTGATGGAAATAACTACAGCTGACCGCATCAGACTCCACTTTCCATCATGGCTTCTGATTTTAGCTAAAACTGAGCTCTCTGAAATAAGTGAAGCTAGGCCAGAAGATGGAGATTCCGAACCAGATGAGTTTCCTTCTTTTAAGAAACTTCTTAACATGATTGTTACATTGTTGAAAGGAAATATCAGCATAAGGAATGTGTTTGGGGTGATTTTCTTGATTAGCGCGATTGTTGGGATGCAAAAGAAGAATTTCGGATTGGTTTTGGGACTCGTACGCTTTGCATGCCGGAAGGTATTCAGGGAAGACGAGAGAGAGTGGGGCAATATGATGTTGGCTTCTCTTCAAGAGCTTTACCCTCAGATTGAGAGAGAAATAGAAGAAGACATTGAAGAAGACAGAAGGGAAAATCTGCGAAATGCAAAGGAATTGCTTGAACCAATTTGGATGTATCATATGTATGAAACTGGGAAGGTTTCTATGGAGGACTAATTTGAGAACACGAGCACACTCGGATTGCATTGCCTCTGGTGTTTTAACAAAATGAAGGGGTGTTTGTCGTCGACTAGCTCTTCGGGTACTTGACAGTTCCATTAAGGAATGAGAAGAGTCCCATGGGTAATCTGGTTTTGTTCTGTTTCATGCTCACTTGGTGAAATCAAGACGGCACTCTGCAATTGCTCCATGCCTGCAAGGAAAAACAATATATATTTCATGTCCATTCAAGCAAAAGCTCAAAAATAAATATAAACTCTGGTCATGTAATCCTGCACCCTTTCTCTTTTAGTAGCAAGTTAGAAATTAAGAAAGTTATCTACGTATCATGAACAGTAACAACTTGCAGTGAACAGTAACTACCCAAGTGCATTTGCACTCCTAAATTGAACAACTTAGGCAATTCTATTAAAATATTAATATTGTTGTAAAATCGGTGGTATATGTGTTGTGGAATATAAAGTAAATGAGATAATATTTAAGAGGTTCGGCAAGTGTGCCTACATCTTAGGGGCAGCAATAGTACTTTATCTTATTATATGAAATAATAGAAGTATAAAGATAATTTACTATTTTCTTTTTTCTCTCTAGCTCAGCTGACTAGTATTTTCTTATGTATCTCTTTTCTTTCTCTTCTTCCTCTCATCTCTCTTCTTTTCTTTCTTACTTCCTTTCCTTCTTATGTCTATCTCTTTTTTCTTCATTTGCTTCTTTCTAAGACTTGCCACCTCAGTCATTAATGATTCGACTTGGCGAGTTCAAGCAAGTAGACGTTGGTCCATGTTGGATACAGAACCTGCACATTAAACATTGATAGCCAAAGAGTCTTGAATAACCAACTCATCAAACACTTTTGAAAGTATTCTTTCATCTCAGGGAGTGAGAAGGTTCCTAGCTACTCAACCCACTAAGCTTTGTCTATCACTAGTTTACCTATAAAACAAAGAAGCAAATGAAGAAAGAAAGAGATATAGACATACGGAGGAAATGAAGTAAGGAAGAAAGAGAGAAAGAAAAGAAAAGAGAGGAGAGGAAGAAGAGAAAGAAGAGAGATACAGAAGAAAATACCAGTGAGCTGGGCTAGAGAGAAGAGAGAAAATAGTGAAAGTTATTTTTGTACTCCTATTATTTCACATAATGAGAGAAAATATTGCTGCTACCTCGAGGACGTAGGCACACTTGCCGAACCTCATAAATATTATGTCTCATTTACTTTATATTTCACAACACACATACCACCGATTTTACAACACGTTATCAGCCCGAGAAGCTCTTGTGTTAGTGGAAAGCACAACGCCATAAATCCGGTGAAGCACTACCTACCTCTCACCTCTGTCGGCTGGAATTTCATAGATAAGAAAATCCATATATTTTATTCTCATATCTCTGTAGTGCTAATTTTCTTGAATCAAGTATATATCTTGTTTCATGATTGCATATTATTATTTGCAAAAGTAAAAAGGGTACAAACTTCAAATTCGCAGAAAATCTAACAGTCATGTTACGAACTCTAAAACTCCAACTTTCTGTGCTAAAACAAAACTGGAAAGCCATCTTATGAGTGCCAAAACTCCATTTTTAGTAGCTCAGATCGAAATTATTTCTTCACGAAAGTTGTTCGCTATACTCTTATCCATATCATACTAAAATTTAAGTTAGATTTAACGGTTTGACCTTCTCATAAGTTGCAGGCATTACATTTGACTCTAAAACTTACGGGAACCATTTCGGCTCTTTCAAAACTTATTGGAGGAAGGACATCAACTGGACTTATTGTTACTATTACCTCATGAGTAACTAATAGGACTTGGAGATGTGAAATGAAAATAAAATAAAAAAGGATGAAACAAAAGAAAGTGGTAGACAAAGAAAATGAAAAAACAAAAGATGAAGATTTTTAATCATTGCTTTTTATATTTTGGTATATTTATGTGAATAGTGCTGGTTTAAAGTCCTATCATAAGTTTTATTTATTTAAAGCAATTCATTTATATTGGGTGGAATTATTACCCTTTGCTTTAAGCTTTGACATTTATGTGAATGATGCTGAATCAAGACCCTTGTCACAAGCTTTAAATAAATAGAACTTGTGATATGACTTTAAACTAGCACCATTCACATAAATATGCCAAATCAGAAAAGGCAATGATTAAGTCTCAATCTTTTGTTTTTTTTCCTTTTCTTTGTCTGCCACTTTCTTTTGTTTCATCCTTTTTATTTTATTTTCATTTTACATCTCCAAGTCCTATTAGTTTCTCAGGAGGTAATAGTAACAATAAGTCTTCCTCCAATAAATTTTGAAAGAGTCGAAATGGTTCCCGTAAGTTTTGGAGTCAAATGCAATATCTGCAACTTATGAGAAGATCAAACTGTTAAATCTAACTCAAGTTTTAGTATGATATGGATAAGAGTATACCAAACAACTTTCGTGAAACAATTTCGATCTAAGATACTAAAAATGGAGTTTTGGCACTTATAAGATAGCTGTCCAGTTTTCTGCGGGATTTAAGTTTGTGGTAGTATTTCAAAGATTTGGAATGATTTCACCATTGGATCTTTCTGGAATTTTGATATGTTATAGGAGAGTTGATAAGGAATAACTTTCATGAAGGAAGTGTTTATTTTTTAGCACAGGAAATTAGAGTTTTAGAGTTCGTAATATGACTGTCGGATTTTCTGTGAATTTGAAGCATGTACCCTTTTTGCTTCTGCAAATAATGATATACAGTCATGAAACAAGATATATACTTGATTTAAGAAATTCGTAGTATAAAGATATGAGAATAAAATATAAGAATTTTCTTATATGTGAAGTTTCAACCAATAGAGGTGAGAGGTATGTAGTGCTTCACCGGATTTATGACATTGTGCTTTCCACTGACACAAGAGCTTTTTATGCTAACAATGTGTTGTAAAATCTGTGGTATGTGCGTTGTGGAATATAAAGTAAATGAGACACAATATTTACGAGGTTCGGCAAGCGTGCCTACATCCTTGAGGCATCAACAGTTTTTTCTCTCATTATGTGAAATAATAGGAATACAAAGATAACTGTCACTGTTTTCTCTCTTCTCTCTAGCCCAGTTCACTGGTATTTTCTTCTGTATCTCTCTTCTTTCTCTTCTTCCTCTCCTCTCTCTTCTTTTCTTTCTCTCTTTCTTCCTTAGTTCCTTTCCTCCATATGTCTATATCTCTTTCTTTCTTCATTTGTTTCTTTGTTTAATAGGTAAAGCTAGTGATAGACAAAGCTTAGTGGGATGAGTGGGCATCCACATTGAGTGACTAGAATTACAACAAATATTTTTTATTTTAATAAAATAATAAAAGATAACTTTATTTTTAATTTCGGATAATAATAAAAGATTGGTTGAAAGTATTTGAAAATATTGAAATGTAGTGTAAAGTGCAAGAACATGGTTATGTGTTTGTAGAAAAAATTATAATTTTTTATATTTTTAATAATTTAAATTATGGCTAACGTCATGGTGACGTCACCCTTGCGTCACATAGGCCAGGCGCTGAGCCAGACAATTATTGCCTTACTTTTCCATCGGGCTTGCCTTGAGCCTAATTGCCCGAGTGGACTGAAGTGTTTTTGGGATGGGAGGAGGGGATTGGGTTGCCTATCCCCAAGGCAATTAGCAACGGTGGAGTTGCTCTTAAAGGGATTGAGTTGTCTATTCCCTAAGAAAGTCTTACTACACTGGAAGTGCTCTAAAAAGAGGAGAGAGAGAGGTGGAAGCGCGAAGTCATATGAATTTCAAAGGCGAAGAGGCAAGGACATATCAAGGGAAACCCCCTACAGTCACCCCTTATCAGCAAGTAGGGAGTGGAGGCCAGATCCAACCGAATGAAAAGACCTCAACCTTCCAAACGGTAGCAGCACACCCTCCGGCCTCATTTAATGCTTCGCCAAGTCAGCAGACATATCAATCCCAGGGCAAAAGGAAAAATTTCCATCCTCACCAATCTCATTTTAATAAAAAGAATAAGGGGCACTATCGGGATAACTCAGGATATCGTCACAATAACGCCCGTCCCCAGGCAGTCAATGCAGTGGGCCAATCACATGTCAAGACAGGCCCTACCCCGAGGTATGAGACATACACACCTTTGAACGCTACATGCGCGGCCATCTACCCCAGTATAGCTCATCTGATACCAAAGCCAAAGCCAAGACAGCCAGATTACAAGTCCACGAAAAACACGGGCATGTTTTGCTGCTATCACGAGTATAATGGCCATGATGGCGAGAAGTGCGTCATCCTCCGTGATCATATTGAAGCTTTGGCACGTGAAGGAAAAATTGATCAGTTCCTCCTTCACCCTCCAAGGGATAACCGTAACCAACGCCAGGTGAATGTGATATATTCTATAAACGGCGGCACACCTATGTCTGAATCTTCCAATAGGGCCATGAAAAATAGTGAACGAACTTTGAGACCTGGCCATCAAGTGTTTCACGTGGAAGACATCAGGGGAGGCAAGTATCAAAAGCCTAACTGGGATCCAATATGTTTCTACCCTGAGGAAGAAAGAGGTATCATCTACCCTCACAACGACCCGCTGATCGTGGAGGCTCACATAGCAAATTTTGATGTGAAACGAATCCTGATAGACACAGGTGCTTCAGTCAATATCATGTTTGCTGAAGCTTTCAAGGCACTTAATGTAGCTGAACACTTGCTCGATCGCTTGATTTCTCCTCTGATAAGCTTCTCTGGCAATATCGTGCAACCTTTAGGGAGTATACACTTACCCCTCACCATTGGTACATGCCCCTACACAGCTACTATTACCACTAACTTCCTAGTGGTCAATTGCCCGACGGCATACAATGTCATCTTTGGGCGCACATGCATCAATGATCTCAAGGCTATGGTATCCACACATATGTTGTTGATGAAGTTTCCAACCCCTTTCGGCAATGGATACATCAGGGGAGATCAACTTAGTGCTCGATCATGTTACAACACTTCAGTTAAGCAACAACACCTGCCTGTCCCCAAGGAGACCCTCTCTATACATAACCAAGTAGTAAAGACCAGTCCAGATGAAGCCAACTCGGATCTTCATAATGGCAACAGTCAACCCGATGACCCTCGAGATAACTCCTTCACCCAGCAAGCACAACCCGCTGAAGAGTTAGAGAATGTCTCTATCTCCAAGGACCATCCAGATCGCATGGTGAAGATTGGCACCACTTTGTCACCACCCATTCGGTTGTCGCTGATCTCATTTTTGCAAGAGAACGCCGAGGTCTTCGCTTGGTCATATAAAGATATGCCGGGCATCTCTCCCGATATCATCTGTCACCACTTGAGTATTGATCCCAAGACTAAACCAGTAAAACAGAAGCGAAGATCTTATGATGTTGAACGATACGAGGCGATGAAAGCAGAAGTTGAAAAACTCAAGGACATAGGCTTCGTCCGTGAAGTCAATTACCCAACATGGGTAGCAAATGTTGTCCCTGTTAAGAAAAATCCGACCA